CCTATGGCGAGCGGACAATGCAGCGGTCAACGCCGATGTCCCGTTGTCGTTCGCTTGGTCTCGCTTATCGCTTCATCCACGCTTTTTATTATTGCTAGCGTTCCTAACAGACTTACCGTTGTGGTTTATCCATCTACCAGGAAATCCTTATTTTTGACCCCTAGTGAAGGTTAAAAGGTTAACAGTGCAGCAGTCGTATGAGCTTACTCGAGTTCTCAATTCTCTTACTCTTACCTGGGTTGGGTAACCTCTTGAAAGACGCCCCCCACTGAAATATATTTGATCCAGGTTTCTCTAGTAAATTTTTTCAATATTTTTCTTCAGACGCCCATTTCCAACCATAGGTCTTTGAGTATTTCTTGACTTTATACCTCCTTCGGTACAGTAACTTCTTTCTTCGATACTAGATACTTTTCTGGGAGCTCATCCCATTCTTCATTAACCAGTTGATCTGGGAGCTTTTAGACATTCAATAAAACTGTAGAAGCTTTTTTAAGAAGTTTTTTGGGTCCATTACTGTATAAAAAGCGTTTGAGAAAGCTTTCCTGCTCGGATGATTTACTTTTTGTCAGGTCCGTGATGAGAGCACATGGTTTCCATAGTTATTGATTGCCTTCACTCACCTCTCACTCTGCCCTTTCCGACAGTAATTTCGTATCATCCCCTCCTTTTTAGTGCCTCGTTCCAGGTGAGTTGATGACGTCATATGCCGAAACATTTTACGACCAGCTGTGCCAACCGTCGTCTTCATCGCATTCGTCGGTGAGTGTTCCCGTTTTACATGGATTCGATCCACCATTAAATCCCCTGCCCATGTCCCCCCGGGCTGGTCTGACTGCACATTCAACGGAAGGAAAATCGCGGCACAGGTTCTTTCATTCGCCGAAAACGAGTGTCGTCGCCAGACGGGCACATCGATTGCGCAACGAACAAATCTTGTTCACCCTGCCGATCGACCGTGGCTTGTTAGCTTCACACGAGAGAGGAATATTTCGAATGATGACCCCTTGCCATTTCAGGAAATCTTCCCATGGAATCGGCTACCAAGAGAGCTGCAAGTGAAAGTTCTGAGGAATCTGAATCGCCGAGATCTGAGCCGATGTCGATCGTTGAGTAGGGAAATGTTCGAACTCATACGGAGCAGTGAGAGCTCGATGAGGAGACGACACCTCGATCTTGTGCGGATAGAACGGGTTCGCAACTTCTATAGCTTCGATTTCGCTGGCCGAAACTCGAGTTTGATTAAGGCAGACTGTCTCCACCCGTGGAAATTAGGTGGCATTACAGATTGGTCAGGACCGCGTTCAGCTGTTATGCGCTGCGATGAGGAGGGAAAGAGCAGGAAATGGATTGCGTGCCAGAAGAGAAAGAAACGAGATTCAGCAGAGTTGACCACGGATATCAAGGTGAGTTAGGAGTTTATATTGAAGCTATTTAACTCTGAATACAACCGCTCTAAACGAAGGATCACTAACTGGGAAATCCCGAGAGGTTGCTGATCTGATGTCGCGCAGGAACATCCAAGTGCTATGCCTTCAGGAGACGCGATGGAAAGTGCTAAGGCCAGAGAAATTGGGAAGGTGTCAAACTCCACTACAATGGGAAAGACATCAAGCGGAACGGTGTGGCCATAGCGGTGGAGGAGTCGCTCAAAGATCATGTCTCCGCAGTGAACAGGATCAGCGATCGTATCATGACTGTGAGGATAGATACGAAGGAGGGGTACTGGACCTCACTCTCTGTGTACGCAACGCAAGCCGGATGCCCCGGAAGTGACAAGGACGACTTCAATTCAGCCTTGACGATGCCATCAGAACGATTCCGGAAGATGACTACCTCTCCATAGCAGGTGATCTGAATGGTCACATAGGCAGTGAGAGAAGGGGCCTGGAAAGGGCGCACGGATGTTTAGGAATAGGAGTGAGGAACGCCGAGGGAGAGAGAGTCCTGAACCTGGCTACGGCCCACAATCTGGAAATCTGCAGCACGTTCTTCGCGAAAAGGGAGTCTCACAAGGTCACCCACAGCAGTGGAGGACGACAAACGGAAATCCACCATGTGCTGGT